CCAAATGGAACTGAAACAATCCCAAGTACATCTTCTTTCTCATCAAGAAATAGCTATCCAATCCAATGGAGAGGAATGTAGAACAGCCCTAATCAGTGCAAAAACATGAGATGCTGCTGGAAGTCATTGAATGTACCCAGTTTCTTCAACAGTAAGTAGATAGTGGAACTATTTTTTTTTTTTGAGACTGAGAACCGCAAGAAGGTTTTACATAAGCACAAACAGCAGTTGATGTTTGCTTTGCAATTTGTTTTCATTCAAAATGTTCATTTTTAATACAAGTGTTACTTAACTTGTAACAGGAGAGGTGGAACTTCTGTTTCCTGGTGGCGAGACTTCATCCTGATTTGGGGGGACAACAATATGGTTTCAGCTGTTCTTGCTTTTTTACCATCTCTGTCTAAGGCTACGGCAATATAATACACCTTGCTGTAAATAAACAGGCCTTAAGAAAACAGTATAGAACAAAAAAAAGCACATCTCTTTAGCAGCTAACCATTACCACCTGGGCAGATCTTGTCCTGATTCTGTTTTCTATGCAGTTTTCTCCTGGAATCAATAAAATTTAAAATCTCACTATTTATGTTCAATGTCTCATGGTCTAGGAAGAAGTCACCCTATACAAGCAGTCCCCAAGAGCTTAAAAAATGAATCTGTGGTTTATAAATTTAGTCCAAAGACCTAATAGACCTGCCCAGGTCTTCATAAAGTTTTTTTTTAGGCTTTCTTTGACCTGAGAATCACTTTGAGCATCATCTAAGATGATTCTTAAAAGTTATTTTAAGCAGTCTAAGCACAAGGGATATGTCTTTGACCTTATCATTAATAATTTACAAAACAAACATTTTAAATAATTAAAATATTTTTTTCCCTTTGGAGAGAAAAGGCAAATTCAAGAACCACATAAATGCTAGTCATACTGTTTAATGCACTTCTGGAATTCATTCAGAAAACACGTGGTGGAAGCAGAACAAGAAAATCCAAAGAGCGGCTGGCTCAAACGGTGCCTGAATTGCAAAACATTTTTCGCATTAGGTAGTCACTACTATTAGGGTAAAGCTATGAAAGAATAAATCACATCTGAAGAATTTAATAATTTAAAAATCACTGAGGACATGTAACAATTTGACCATCACATTGCCCTTCACGTTGTGAAGGTGCATAAAAATGCAGATGCCATATATAGTGGGTATCTACAGATTTACCAGATAAGAATAATGGCTAGAAATGGACAAAGAAACCCGTAAACCATGTTCTGGATGAGCTCTTTAATAGTATCAGGAAACACTTAACAGAAACATGTAAGAAATATGGGAATTCCCACTAATTGCACTTCATTCTGCTTATTTTGCAGAAAGAACATGTAAGACAAAAATTGCCTTACATTTCTTACAGAAGAAGATGTTGGCACACTACCGTGTATGGTGAAGAAGGTGTTGGCACGCTATTGTGTATCGATGAACACAAATTAACTGAGGATTGCACCTAGACCATCTCAGCAGCATTCAATAAACAAGGAGTGAAGGGGGCAGTGTTAAACCAGGAGGAAGTAAATGTAGAGGGAAGAAGACACTAAAGACTGCACACGCATAGACACAGACACACACACATGCACATTCACATGAAAAAGACCCAGAGGCTGTACAGAAAAATCGTATCAGTGTGTAGTAAAAATGTTTCCCATGGTAAATGTTGTGTATTATTCAATTACAAGAATCTTACTACAATGTGGGCTATTTTGCAGTATACGCTTTCTGCTAGAACAATCACAGCCTTAACCATGTGCAAAAATCAGTGTCCACTGAAAAAAAAAACAAATTCTGGATAAGAAAATGTAAGGCAAAAATGATAATAATGCTTATGCATATGCAAATAAACCTCCCTATTCTTATCCTAAGACCCTTTGTCATGACTTATGATTTGGATAGCAGTTTAACCATCAAAAACATTTTAATAAGACTGAAGCACACTAAAATTAAGAAGCTTAGCATAAACTTCTTATATAAATATAAAATCCTTGCTCAGATGTTCTTGTTTTTCCAGAACATGTTTCTTCTTTGCCAAGCACAAAACACTGTAATATAGGAAAATAATTTTGATATCCAGATTTAAAACAAGTATCTCATACTTTGTTTGTCCTTTGTCCAAAAGTCCTACGAAATGCCAGTATATACAAGCTTTATTTTAAAAAAAATCTCCTAGTAAGCAAACACGCTACTTCTGTATTTTACTAAACATCCACTCCCACTTTCTACACGGTACTCCTGTGGCGGATCTTGGGCTGCTGTGGTGTCACCTCAGGTAATGAAGGTGATCTCAGTTTGCTGTCAGACATTGTGGTCTCGTATTGGCCCAATATTTCCAATCTAAGCATGGGTGGCCATTGAAAGCGGAGTCCCTCCTTGCCACGCTGTGCCCACACTCATGTTCCTGGGACACATGAGCAACTGGATCTAGGATCTGATCTGTCTAAAAACTGCTTTTCTCCTCAAGATGCTTTCAGCCAAATCAGTCCTTCACAAATCTGAAAGCCAAAGCATGGGAGGAACCAAGAATGTAGGACCAGGGATTTAAAATATTTGCCATAGATGGTGTCACATTGTGGTTGCCACTCTGACTGGAACTCCAATACTCTTTTTCCTCTTGGTACAGCCCTTATCCAAGAGACGCTTTTAATGACCTTTCTGATCAGGGAGGAACTGGCGTTGACCTCACCGTTCTCTGAGGGGTACCTGCTGCCTCCCATCTCTTCGTTTCACATGAAGCTTTTTCCTTCTCTCTTACAGCCCTCTTGCTAGAAGAAGGGTAATCGCAGGTTCTCCTGCACAGCTGCCGTGGTCCTCGGCCAGCTCCACCTCCACTGGGCGAGAGGTCACAGACTTGCCCGTTGGCCTCGCATGGCACAGGAGAGCTCATGCACTACATACAACTGCAGCACTAGGTCACGTTCCCCATACAGGACACTGAGCTCCTTGGCTGGAGTCATCCCACTGAGGATATGACAAAGCACTGACACCTACATCTTACCCACACAAAGCGATCGGTCGACTTTCAAAAGCTTAGTCAGATATGCCCTGTTAGTGCATTTTGTTTATGTTCTAATGTTAAGCAGTGACCCACTGCTAACTCCTCATGACCCGAAAGCACCATCACAAAGACCTGAGGTGCCCACAGCCCTGCAAGATGCAACCTGGGGGTTCCTGTCTAGCTCAGAGCGCAGACTAAAGACAGTGGGTCCAGCGCAGAACACCAAAGCCGTTTTTAGAGCAGAATTAAAGGAGCAGAATCCACCATCAGCGGCTGGTGCTTCTCAACCCGTAGCAGAGGTGAAAACCTTTGGCTAAAGCCGCCTGTAACCTAACGCGGAAGCCATATGGGCAACACGCTGCGCC